TAGCTGTCCCAAGTAGACGTATTCCTTTACAAAATACGGTGTCTCGCAACCTCTTGCAAGGTGCTGTTCTTTCCTGGGACTGTTGCACATTACTTTCAGCGAATTGCTGGTTGCTAACATACTCTCCATTTAATCTTATCCCTATCTTACCAATCAAAGACCCTGAAAACCTCCTGTAAACACGCGGTGAATAGCATTGGGCAGGTCATGTCTCCCGGCCTTGCTCTGTTTTTATTGGGATTCTGTCTTTCTTTATGGAGGACTATGGTGCCTGTTAATATGCTGTAGATTTCTTCCAGTATATTTATATATACTTCGTTCATGCCCCGATTCTGCAGTGCCTACGTGACTGCTAATATTTTGGCCGAATCTAATGCCTTTTTGTAATCTATAAAAGCTATATACAAGGAATGGTTATATTCCCGGCATTTATATATCACCTGATTGATAGCATGATTGTGGTCTATTGTGTGGAAGCATCAAGTCAATGAAAAGAAGAATCCCAACATGAAACCTAACGGTTTATTCGCTCAGCAGCAGCATTGGGCGAGCATACCGACACTACGTGCGTCTTTGTAGCGAAGAAGAATCTTGCAATCTTGGCAGTGCGTTTTAGTAGCCACTGCCAGCGACGCATATCTCTGTTGATGCTGCAGTGGTGCTGTAATTTATCTGTAGGCGATGCAGCGTGCAGCCATGTCACCTATCTGACACCGAGCTGAAAGATAGTGAAGTGGAGGCTGCACAGTAATATGTGCAGAGTGTGTCGCCAGATTTGTAATTATCTTTGTTTCTATGTGTGATGTTTAGCCTCCATGAACCCAAGTTAATATGCACATTACAATCCAGTAAGCCTGATGAAGGATGCAAATAAACACATGATATATGACTAAGTAAAATTTTGTCAATGTCACCCTCATGATGCAATGTCGTGTTCTTCGTGTACAGCCATGCAATACATTCAGCATTTCTTTTTTAGGTACCATATAAAAACAGTACATCAATTTTGTCTCGCGAACTATTTGTTAAAAACTCTTACTTTCATTCATTCGTACCAATAGCATGGGCGTCGACAGGGGAGTGCAAAAGGGGCAAAGGGGCAGTTGCCCCCCCTCCCCCAAGCAGCACCAGCCCTCCCCTCTCCCACCCTCGCTCACTGCCCTGAAAACCATTCTTTATTCTCCTGTGGACGTCGGTGACCAGAGACTTTCCAGAATGGTCCTTTCAATGACGATGTAAAAAAAAATTTTAACCTTTCTACTGATCTTTCTTCTGTGAGAACGCAAGTAGCCAGGCACCAACAAAGCCAAATTCAAGCCAACCACCTGTGAAAGCCTTTTCCCCTGCAAATTCTTTCCCTGGCATTCTTCCGATTGGAAACGGAAATTTTCTCTTCAGACGACCTTCTTTGGCTTCGCATGAGTTACGCCAGGATTCTTTGCTAGTGACAGGGTGCTTTCCCGCTTCAGATATTTTCACCTGGGTGAGGTAAAGCCCCTCCATTGCGACTACTGCTGCTTTTTTAAGTAGCGCCAACCATTCAGGCCTAGTTCCAGTTATAGAGCTTCTAAGAGAAAGTTATTGAGACACCTCCTTCTGCTTTTTCCTTCCATCTTGTTTCTGCACATGCGAGAAAGTAAATATTTTCGTTTTCATACCACAAGTGTTGTCTTGAGTTTCATCCTAAGTTCGCGAGCAATGCTACCCCCTGCTGCGCACCAGGCTGCTCGACGGGGTCGACAGCTGACCGGTGTGACAGCATGAATGAAATGGGGTGAGCGCGTCAGGTGGTGTAAGCTTTCTTTACTTAAACTTATTCATGGGGTGCATAGCATATGAGGTGGGTCCATGGACCGGAAAAGCAGCAGAAACATCATGGCAGCACCCCGGCTTCCGCTGGTCAGAGGTCTGGTGTAAAGGGAAATGGGGAGAATGAGTTGGCGCTGCTTAACCTAGCTGATGGAAAACAAGTGGAGAGGCTTTACATTAGCTCAACGAGCAGCCTAAACCACAGACCGGGAAAACAAAGTATTTTTACTATTTAGCAATTGATACTGCCTTTTATTTCTTTGGTTTAAGGGTTTTCTCTCTTACTCTCTCTCCATGAAGCTTAGCAGAGAGTTGTCACTCTGCTTGCATACAGCTGCTGAACATCAGCAACATGGAAAGAGCAAAAATGTGCGCGGGACCCCCACAGCTAGAGGTCCCCGGCACTACAACTCTACTAGAACCTTGTTTATGTAACATTCTTGGAAACATTACGACGCACACACAATAGACCAAAGAACGAAAGGCGGGAAGATAAATGGGCGCTTTTTTCATCTATTCTGTGCATGCCAAAATATTTCCAAGAATCCTCAAACCAACTTGCCCAACTTTCCGTACTATTACATGTTTACAGGAATGTGACTACTCCTGTATTACATGTATGTACATGGGTTTGCTGAACCAACTCAGCCAGGAAAAAGTTCCACAGGAGTATATGCGCTGAGAAGCCGCATCGTACTAACGCGCCAGGCAGGATGGAATTCGAGGGGTAATTGAACTCAAGAACGCTGCATCAAGGTGAGAGTAACGACAGCCCTTCGTTATAACTGCTTCTGGTATGTTAAAAATCTTCCATTTCGTCCGAATTGTCGCAGAGCCTCTGGCCGGCACTTGCCTTCCGAAGCGAGAGGTTGCGCAATTTGGACGCCTACGTGATGTTCCCATGAAAGGGATGACTGCCAGGCTCATACTGCCCCTTGCTGGCTCGGACAGCACGGATAACAAAACAACAAAAGAGAGACATCCCAACAACAAAGAACGAAACAACTGGGTTAGGCAGCTGCCTAACCCAGTTGTAAAAAATAAAATAAACTTTTGCTAGCATTCAGAAATCTCAGCGTCATCAAATTATCGATAAAAAACTCCTTTATAACACAGTAAGGTCTTATCTGTGAGCACACCCTCTGACACCAGGTGGCAGCTACGGGAGAGAAAACGAGGTAAGCTTGAGAGAAATGGCGTCTCGTGTTCTGTTGCATTTAGCAAATGAGGCCTATGAGGTGCGACATTCTCGCAGTAATTTCTAAGACACCTTGGTGGTTCTTGTACACTTTGGGTGGAATATTTGGAGGGGTAAAAGTGCCTAGAACGAGGAAACCAGTCTGTGAGAGAAAATCTGTGTAGAAAACATTCTTGAAAAAAAGCAACCTTGCAGATTTCTGTGAAGCGTCAACTCTCAAAAACCCTTCTCTAATCACTTTTCTACACAGGGCTACAATGTGTACCCGCCAAGGTGAAAAAAATAGCTTGCACCCGACAGAACAGGAAAAGTTTTGCTAGGGAAGGTCGCAGCCTCCCTCTGCCAAAGTAAGCACGCGTTCGTGAGCATTGCAGAGCTGTTGTACAGTGCCACGGCAAAACGAAAATGGACATCAGAAGCTTCTTTAAAGGAAAAGCTGATACTGATGCTGCGCCATGTTTGATGAAGAAGATACACCTTTTCGAGCTGGACCATGATCTTGAATCCGAAGATACTTCTACCACCTCACACGAACTTGAGGGACCTCTAACAACGAGGCACGCTGTAGAAATCGGCTGAGCCCTCAAACCATCTCTCACAGGTAAGCTTCATCACAGCAAATAGTACGGCTCCAGTCTTTGCCATAGAAAACGTCTGAGGAGGTTTTCGAACAGCCATAACTTTTTCCCTTAACAACGTGTTGTTCCGAACGCTCTTTCAGCATGTTGCAGCGTGTGAAGACGTGGCTTCGTTCGACTATGTCCAGCGACCACCTGTCTGGACTCTGTATGCTCTCGCTGCATCATGACAAAATTGAAAAGGAGTTACAAAGAGCTTTCACAGAGAAAGTCGTACAGCACTTTGCTATGCGTGTGCCAAGACGCATGCCGCTCGCATTTAGAGACACTGTGTAACTGTAAGGATAAGTTTCTAGCAAGTACGAAATTGCGGTAATTCTGCCTGGCAACATGTCATGTAACTGCATAACTGCATGTCATTCAGCGCGAGAATTTTATTGAAAAGGTAATCTGAGTTTTTCAGCAATTTGTGACTGCAAACTGTCGAACTGCATTGTTAGCAAGGTAATGTAAATTCGAGGCTGCCTGCCTCAGCAGCGGTAATATTCAGCTTTGTGGCTCGTGGTCTCAGAACTTCTGAAAATTTATCTTGATGTCCGAGTGTCCCCCCCCCCCCCCCCCGAGGCAGAATCCTTTTAATGCCCATGACTAATAGTCCAATTATAACAAATTAAAAATTCTGTATTTTACATTTAACATGGGTACATTCACGTGGCAGCACAGATTGTAAAGTATTTTTCATATTTTGACCACTGTGGATTGATAAAAGTTCCTAAAAGTCTGCCAAGTTCAGTCATTAACTCTTTTTGAACAAAACATTGTTGATCTTCAACAATAAAAAGTTTACTAGGACCAAGAATGCCATCAGTCTTTTTTTCTTGGTTTTATGGCTTTACCAAGGCCAAGTCCTTTTTTTGGTGCCATAGAAGGATACTTATGAACACTGCTCAGCTTGTTTGTAGCATCATTACAGACATCCTTTTGTGATCTTTCTCAATACATACAGCAATCAAAATTTTCAGTGGCAGTTTTCATTTGGCACTGCATGAATTTCTGTACATATTACTTTGTTTAAAGCTTTTAGACATGGCTCTGCAGATATCCCAACATGTGAATTTATTTAGAGCAAAAATGTCAAAGCCCCAAGGCTGATTTTCTCAGACAATGCTGATAAATTTCACATCTCAAGCAATGGCCCTGTGAATCTCCCCCAATCTGGCATACACCACTAAAAGTTCATGAATAAACACCCTGCTTTACCATGTCCGTAGAGTTTGTACATACAGAGCAAGGTGATGCCCTATGAATATAAATATGGCTATATATATATATATATATATATATATATATATATATATTTAAGAGGCCATTTGTTTTGTGCCAGTTTCTTGTAATCAACATGAACGTGGCATTACAATTTTTATGGGCTGTAAGGTTTTCAATGCATTTCAATTACTGCAAGAATGCTACTATTTATGTTCCTCAGAGTGTAAACATACATTATGCAAGAATAAAACTTTTATTTTAAAAATGGACATTATCAAATAGTGTAGCTGCAAACACGCACCACGGTTTTAACTCTAAGAGTTGATTCGAAAGGAAACTACACAGAATGGGCTGCATTGACAGTAGTTGTAAATTTAAGACCTATGAGCTGGAAAAAATTAAAAATGCTATAATTTTCGTTGCCTTTATCATTAAAATTAGAAACACTCTTGTGCAATGGCAATCTGAAAAATGACAGAAAGCGAACTAAACATCTAGGCCTTGATGAAAGGCATTCACGGTCATGGAATCGTCCACTTTTTCTTATACCAACTCAAAAAAGCATTCTAAATTTCTGGAATGCTTACTTTTTGTATATTTGCATGTCTGAGTTTACATATGGAAGTGCAGTGATGCAATCTTGAAACAATCCTATATTATTATTTTGATTAAGATGCTCTAATTATTTGATTTCACGAAATTGACAGCCTAACAACTCATAGCATCCTAAGAATTCAGTCATTGCACTTTGCCTTCTCTTCACTTCTCTGATGAAGCAACCTACTACTTCTTCACTGCTGCGGAGAAAGGAACAAGAGAAAAGATGGGAACATTCAACTTTTGCCGACCATGGAGTTCTTCAATTTCCACAATGACAATGCAGTGGGATACATTGGCTCCAGCAGCCTGGATTAAATTGACAGCAGCTTGCATGCTCCCTGAAAGGCAAGCACACAGGACAATTCACCAATAATTTACACTGATAAAACAATAGCAGAGGAAAAGTGGTCAACTGCCAACACAATAAGCTCGTTGAGCACTTGGATGATACTTCTACTGTTTAGGATGACATCAAGTCTCCGTTTAATGCAGATATACAATAATAAGTATGCTTCAGTACAACAGAAAAGAAGGTGCAGTTGAAGCATTTTGTAACGAAGCATTCTCTGGCATGAAAGTATACATTGACTATAAGCATGCGTTCATTACATGCTGGAAATAGCGTGAAACCATTTACATTATTTTAACTCGTAAAATACATGCTTGTTATATTGAGGCTCAACTGTACTGAACTATTTCCCCACTGCGGGATAAATCGGTGTATTTGGTAGGTTCCACTAGAATTTTTTTCTGGATAAACTACTGTACTTAACATTTTATGTAATACATAAACGAAAAAACTTCCGAGCTATTCAAGCATTCAAGATTCATTAATGAGATATATGTTATGTGAGCAATATAAATTGCCAAATTTAGGAATAGTGAGACAAAAGTGAATGCAGTTTGTAAAGACACTCTTCTATTTACTGAGAAGGAAGTAGTACCTATAACAGAAACTACGACATATAAAGAACATGCTGCCATCTAATAGGCACCATATAAAAAAAATTCAAAATTTTTCATTGAACAGCACGCTCCCAATAAAAACTGTACTGTGTGCACTACGATTGGGTGTGTGTTGTGAGAAAGCAGTCTTTTGATTTAGAGCATAGTGTAATGTCGCAATTCTTGCAGTAAACTCTTGTTTTCTGCTCGGTTTTCCCACAGCGCTTGCATTCCTTACAGCTTCTACAAGTTTTCGTCCTGACAGGCTGGTGCTGAAATGCGAACTGAGATGGTCGAAGCAGAAAACGAAGCTGACAAATGTTCCAGGCTGATTTGCATCGTTCACCTCAGAGTGAAAGTCCGACCAAAAGGCAGCATCCTCAGACCTGCTGCAGCTTATTAAATCGACAAGATCAGCCACAAACACACCAGAATGCTGATATCCGTGATCTTTCGGCGCGTGCACACTCGGCGTGCCAGTTAGCAGCCACGTTTGCTTTTCACTTGTACAATCGTGTAACTTTGAAGTGCATTAAAAAAATCAAGGCGACACAGAAAAAATATTGACCGCATCAAGCAGAAAACTAGTTTTTATCCTTCATGACGAATGACGCGGTCTGTCTGTGAATGGTGCGAACGTCTTGAAAGAAGCGATTCGAACCATAGATACAAGGCTATTGGTGACCTATCGGCGCGGTACAGAAAGAGTTGAAAGGCGAACTAAGAGGGTAGACGGAGAATCTCCATCCGTTTGTCGTCTGTGTTTACTACTGCGCAGCATGCACCACCAACTGGCCTAATCCTCCACTTTGAGTGACCAATAACTGCTTAGGTTTACATCACTAAGGCACGATACGATGATGAGGGACGCCATAGTGCAGGACTCTGGAAATTTGGCTATCTGTTGTTCTTTAGCATGCACCTAAATCCAAGTACACGAGCCTCTAGCCTTTCATCTCCATCAGAGTATGGCCACCACGTCCAGGATCCGATCACATGACTTTCCGGTGTGCAGTAGAGCACCATAACCACTAGACCGCCACAGCAGGTTAGTTAAAAGGTTAGTATTACGATTATTGAATAGACACTCACAATGTGGAAGCTGTGTGTCCTAGGCTGTCTCTGAATTCATAGTATAAGCCAGGCAAATAAGACATCAGGAACTGTCTTCTCAATACACAAAATGTTTTTTTTTGTATATCATGCACAAATAGGCCATGGAAATGTTTCTTCAAGGGCGGAACTCAAGACAATCGTTGTGGTGCGAGCTTTGGTTGATCTCCCTGTCACAAGCAAGTGCTAATGTCATCATACACCGATTTTCATTAACAGTGCAGTAAGCTTAGAAATTGCAGTAAGTAAAAGAAAGAATAGAACAGCAGTTTGTCAGGGGAAAAGAAAAGCTATCCTGATTTTAAGTGTCGATTTGAAGGAAAACAAGGAAGAATTATTCAGAAGCAAAAAAAAAAGCAAAGTCTTTCTAGTAAACAACGTTTTCTCGTGTTATAGAATAAACTTAAGATGCAGAATAGTTACAGAAGGGTTGAATAATTACAGAAGGGCTGGTTCGCACTGCCAATATTTCAGTACGAATGCAGAATAGTTACGTGTTCATGACTGAGAGACTCGAGTGTTCTATCGGGCAAGAGAGGGACCTATATTCAAAGTACGTGGTTATGTGCAGACCCGAGTGCTGCCGAAGGACTCATCAGCTTCTTCGGCACGCACCCCCAAGCACAAGTGGGCTTTACGGTGCAGCAAGTTGTCGAATTTTTCATTTTCATGTTCCCACCCGAACTATTCTGCTGTGTGGATGACAGTCCATTTTGCTACAGTCTACTGCTGCTTGCCAAGTCAAGCTTTTAGTTCCTTCAGAACGCTATGTCATAGTAATGTTCTCATCAATAGACATTAACTTAGCCCAAGCCGATTCTGTCAAAATCTATGACATTTTAGGCAAGGTTGTGGGTAACGTCATGATGCCACCACCAGCCCTCATTTTTAGCATGTTCTCTGGTTTACCCAACCTCATTCCATGGCAAGAGTAGTCTTTATGGTATTTAGGAACATATTTCCTTCTGTAGCTCATAGCTCAGCACATTATTCATAATTGGCATCCCCTTAAGATGACGAAACCACTCATACTTACCACCTGTGGCTAAGAGGTCATCCACAATGACAACGTTCTCCCCAGGGGTTATACTTTCAAGTTGCACTTCCAACTTGTCCTGCAAAACAAATTGAAAATGAAGTGATCTCTCCTTTCGAACTTGACGTATAAAAAATGAATTGAAAAAAAAAAAACCCTGGTTGTCTGATAGGTTGAGCAGTTACACTGGACAAACTTATGTGAAACACAAAATTAATATTAAAGAGAAATTATTTTTTAGATATCATGTACTTTCCAGCAAAAAGGTGGCAGCAAAGCAATTAGCCTGCAGAATTTTACATTAAACACAAACAATTTCGGGTTTTTTTGCAAGAGAGCACTTTCCGTGCATGGCACTGTTAAATAAAGTCTGATTCTGGAATTTTGCACGCCAAAATCACTACTTGAAGATCCAAAATCTAGATGGGAACCGACAGATGGAAACAACAGAGTGGGATAATCAGGGTTAACAGTGGAAGGCCTTTTTTTGAAAAAGACAGGTCCTCCTATTGAAACGTTGGTCAGTCAGTCTGAGGCACTTGCACTGTTCACCCTGATCATCCCACAAACTTTATGAAGAGGCATACCACAACAGGAGACGGCCGATTAATTGTAACTGCCTGGGGGTTTTTCAGTGTGCATGCAAATCGACAAACACGGGCATGCAGCCTCGTGCTTAGCTCACCATAACTACCACAGTTTTAGCTGGGAAATTTGGCAGACAAGCCTGGCACATGGAGTTCACAAGCAGAGCACAAAGTGATCTCTCTGCCGTTTACAAACACAGGCCTGCCCTCAACAGTAGGCTGGTTATCGGCGGCTGTCATGTATTATCAAAGAACAGGTTCCCATACAGAGCTGCCATTGGCCGAAGGAAAAAAATGTAGCAGAGTTGATATTTCGATCAGTGCAGTTGTTCGTACTCTTAAGGCATATATTAACTAGCACAGTTAATCAAAGAGGTTGAGAAAATGTAGAAATCTACATTGCAAACTTTAAAGAAAATTGTGCACCACCACTACAAACCATCACCGTCATCTAATCACAGTCGGTTGCTGAAGCTCATGTAATATCCGAGGTTTCACATCCCAAAACCAAGATATGATTACTGCTGCTCATGTAGAAATAAAATGTAACACAGCAGGTGGGGTGTTGCTAATAGTGCCATTTCTCCCACCAAAATAGAAAACATTGAGGAGGGGCTGGAAATTAAAATATTTAGTCATAATATCCCTGCTCGAACAAGGTGTTTAATTAAGAAAAATATCGCCAATTATTATGACAATCCGTAATGCAAAATCAGTGTGCAGCAGTGTTCTGGCAAGGTCAATAAAGAGTCTCTGCTCAAGCAGCTTGTTTAGCAGCAGCAGTAGATAAATAACTTCTGCTAGTTTTATCTAAAGTGTGCCAAAATGCAAAGTCCCTCCAACTTTGCCTTAGAAGGACTGAATTAGTGAAAGTACAAAGGGGCTGCAAGAGTGGGATGGGTTGGAAACATGGTTGGAAACAGTTTTAGGGTGTTTTCTAGGGTTTAAACAAAGATGCTTTAAGAACTTCTCATGCAGTCTGCAATAAGTATGCCAGGAATGCTATGACACAGCCACCATATGAACCAGAAACTTCTGTGGTCATGCATGCAGTTGTACTTGAAACTTTAACATAAATGCGTGATGCAGCCACATGAAGCCAACTTGCTTGGTTGTAACTTTATTAAATTGTCCTGCAGTGTTTTAGGTGCATCAGGCTCAGGTCTCCCATGATGGGGACGTCGAGGCTCAGAAACTTTAACTGATGGTGTCTAAGTACAGCCACCTAATTGCTGAAGTAGTAAAGAAAGATCTTGAAGCAACGCTTCTGTGATTCACGTGCACTGAAAGTCACTGCAAAGCTGGAAACTTCTTGCAGCAGCTTTGTTTTGGAAACCACCAATTGAAATGCACAAATTAAACTTTGGGAACTGAATCTTCACTTTCTGCATAGTGCATGCAAAGCTCAATCACTCAGGTGGGGAACAGCTGTCCGCATATATATCTTCCAATCATCTTAGGTTTAGGTTGGCAAAGGAAAGCGGAACTCACTCAGACTCGCTCAAGAAATATATTTTGCACTTTGGACTCACTCAGACTCGCCAAAATTATCTTGAACCAGACTCACCCACACTCATTCAGACTCACGGCCAGATTTGAGTCTGAGTGAGTCCAAGTGAGTCGACTCACGAATGAGTTCACCAACCTATGCTTAGTAGTGATGCAGAACTATCGATGGCACTATTGATACTATCAATAGTTTTGTACCATCAAACTATGGATGGTAAAATAAACTACTGATAGTGCTATCAATAGTAAGTTCAATAGTAAGCATAAAATCAACAAAGCGAATTCATTGCAGCCTAAACTTGATTTTCCGAGTGTATGGAGCAGGAGGAGCAAGCCAAAGGGCAAGAAAGTTTTCATGCTTGCACTCCTTCACCAGCATTGTTGGGCGACACATGGCAACTAAGTTCAATTATTCAAATGTTCAGGAAATGAGACTGTTACATTTGGCGGTATTGCACAGCATCATATTTATATTGCATTTCATAATTTCATCATCAAGAAATAAGCCTGTTAATTGGATGGTTTATGTGCCTAGTTTTGAATATGAATTTTTTGATTAACATATTACCATACTAATAAATTGTAATACTATTTATTTCACAAAAAATGTTAATAAAATAATTAAACTGAGCATTGCTGATATAGAGATACCTCAAATGTTCTTTGACAACATCGCCAGCAACCAAAAGCATAGTTGTTCACAGCAGTAATACTATCGATGGTAATATTGACTGCACTATTGACAATAGTATCAATAATTTACTGGTAGTAGTACTATAGATAGTTCAAAAGAAACTAGTGATATTATCGATAGTCAATTTTTTAACAGCTTTGCATCCTTACTTCTTAGGCATTTGCACATGTGTAGAAGAACGACCCTGGGAGTGTTAGCCAGTCCTGGCCAAGGCAGAGATGTATTAGTGACTAAGAAGTATCTGACCTCTTAGTTACCTTTCCCTTTCATTTCATAGCAAGGGTCATGACTCTGGCATTTTAGTTCTTTCAGGTAGCATACACCACTTTATTAACCAGTGTGCTGGTCACATATTCGCAATGCCTATGATAAGGAGTATATTGTACCATTTAGTGCAAAAGTTTTCAGAATCTGTATCACGTGGCGGAACATAGAAAAACTGATTTGCTGTGCCACCCTTACGTGGCATGGTGTTGAGGATATTGGCCTGTCCACTGTGATTAGATCCAGCAACGGGGCGTTTTCTGAACGCACCACTGCTAATCGCCGAGGTCGTGGCCATAAGCCTCAACATGCGCCGCATCTCCGCCACACCCTACAGATCCCGCGAACGTTTGTGAATGACGGTACTCGTACAGCTAGGGTCATCAATAGCATTAGCTAGCACTCCTAGAGTCGGATCTTGTAACCATTCACAAGTACCCAAGAAAGTGAATAAGGGAAGTGTTGATGCCATAAGTAATTTGTTAGAGCATCGCATGCATAAAGTGGAAAATGTGCCTTCTTTTTTTAATGTAGGTTTTCTACACTGAAATAAAGACGGGTGATTTTGCCTATGGTTTTCTAGGCCTCATGGTATGTTGACTTCACCTGCATGTGTTTTCAAGATTCCAGCTTTAGAAGTGCAATGTAAAACAGATATCAGAGGAAGATGGATCTTAATAGAATAATGTGTGGTACCTCTCCATACTCCAGAGTATATGCCTGAGACTTCACATTTCCAGGTAGCTTTCCTGGTTTTCGAATAGGCACAAATGGTACATTTAGAGCCAATGCCAAAGCAGGCCCCACAAGAAAACCTCGTGACTCAATGCCGGCAATGACTTGAACATTGGGCACAGACTTGCGAACATGCTCGACAAGCAGGTCCACCATCTTGCGAAAGAGATCTGGCTTTTGAAATACTGGCATTATGTCACTGTATGAAGAAGACAAAAAAGGACACGTTAGTAATGTTTCAAGGGCAGTGGCATTTTATTCACAATACATCACAAATATCACAGGAAAATGCATACTCTGCATTGACAAGCACTTGTAACATGACTTTGCAAAATAGTGCATCTCATCTCACCTCTCACGAACTAAATGACACTCATTTTGTTTGGTTCATTTGTGAATAAAAGAAACTATACATAATTTTAAAGCTGTCTTGAGAAGCTTCAAAATAATTTTAGAATCATAGACATGCAATAGTAGTTATCAAACCAACTTTTTATCAATGTGTTTTAAGGCTGAATTATTCATCTTCTCTTATAGTTTCCACTTTCTGGCTGTACCTAAGGTCCAGTCATCTGATCTTCCCTCTGATCTGTATAATTAGCCACAGTAGACATCTGCCATATCTCCTACCGCCTGAGCTAACAGAAGAGGTTTCGGCCGTATGAGTGAAACGAATCCACACAACTTGTTCTTCTGCGCCTACAAAACCTCAGCACTATGTGAATGATGAGTGTAACCAAGCTCTATTTAAAGCATTCTAATAAATTTTGATCATGTAAAGAGTGTACGCAATATACCAAAGCTCAAATATTTTCCTGTATACGCATATTTTTGCTTGATTGATATGTGGGGTTTAACGTCCCAAAACCACCATGTAATTATGAGAGACGCCGTAGTGGAGGACTCCGGAAATTTCGACCACCTGGGGTTCTTTAACGTGCACCCAAATCTGAGCACACGGGCCTACAACATTTCCGCCTCCATCGGAAATGCAGCCGAGTACCTTAGCCACTAAACCACACATTTTTGCTTGCGATAGTTACTATTCACCCCAAAATTGAGCAGAATCACCACCTAGAGGCCACTGGCTAAAGCGTGCCTATTGTGGATTGCTCCCTACACTGTCAGCTAGCCACTTAAGGTTAGCATGTGCGCATATGTCATGTTCATCCTCAAAGGGAGATTTTCCCTGCCCTGTTTTAGCTCAATTTCAACTGCTTGTGTGTTTGCCTATCACTTTCTACAGAAGCATTTGACATTGCTTGGCTGTATATGCACTGCCATGAGAGCAGTTCCTGCACTTGCCGAAACTGCTATCTACCCTCATCGTACCCTTCGTTCGCCAGGATCCTTTCAGTGTAGGTGTCGCTTAGTAATTGGAGCAAATTCTAAATGCACCTTGTGTCATCTCAATCTTGAAGAATATTAGATATTGTGAAAATGCAGCATTTTATCGACTCAGTGATAGACAAAATTTAGCTTGTTAGGTGTCTAATAATAGCACAGTTGCTTATCAGTTATGCAACGAGTGTTATTTATGCTTGAGATATCCCTTTATTTCATGGTCCTGGTCGCACTATAGCAAAATATTTTGTCAAGTAAGTTCTCACACTTCGGTGCTTAAATTGTCCTTTAAAAAGAATAGAACATGGAGTTAAACGGAGGTGACCAAACTTGAGTTGTGCGCAATTCGAACATTGCCTGAAATTTATACAGACTAACCCGTGTGCTTAGATTTGACGGCATGCCTCATGGTTATCTTGTATAATTTCACACAAAACATCTTTTTTTTTACCTTATCTTGACTGCTTTTGTGGCATTGTTATAGACTGACAGAAGGATCGGACATCATTCACTTGAAAAAATATATATATATACTCCGTCCCATCAAATAACTGAACTTTTTTGTGCCACTGTCATGTAGATCTAAGAAAGCTGTGTGCTGAACTTTTATATACTGTTATTGAGATAAAAACAACCACGCTGAAGCACTGTCAGCCACGTAGCTTTCTGAAATAGATTTCTCAAGTGAACCACCTTCATTTCACAAAGAACTGAATAAGAAAACAATGTGGATGCCTATTTGTGGTTATTTGAGCTCATCGCCCTAGAATATAGGTTTTCTTTTTTTATTTTATATCCAAGACCAGCATGCACGAAGCAAATAATAAATTCAGTTGCACTACAGCAGTGCGTAGTAGGTGGGACACAAGCTCAACACTTACAAATAAAAATACAAGAAACATGACATAGTGTGAAAACACAGACAGTCGCCAAGAGCGAACATCCTTTTTGAACAACAGATTGCGTTTCTCTCACTAACATTCGGCAAGCTTCGTGCATCCATTCGGCAATGGACAACATACATATTACTAGTAGGCTGCCCGTCAACGCATTTTATTTGCCAATCATCGGCTTTCACCGTTCACAAAAATGCCTGTTGCATACATTTGTGTGCACGCTGCCGGCTTCCTATCCACACTAGTGCAGTGATGGTGCTGTCACCTGTAGCCGGATCTCGGGGCGAAAAAACATGGCACCCCAGGGTTCTGCCCCTCCCTTTTTGCTACTGTGGTTCTGCACAGGTCATAGTCCATAGTTAAGAAACATAAACGAAGCAAGAAGTATGTCCCAAGAGTTTCACATGTAGTTCTTGAGTGTGCAAGCTCTTCTCAAGTGTCCAATTAAACTTTATAAGCAGAGCAAAGCTTTCACCAGTTGATGCTCGAACATTTAAAGTGCTTAGCATGAAAAGCAGAAAATGAAGATCTGGCCTTAACTATAGGTTGACACGCATTCCTTTTCTCTAGCTTTCTCATTCTGTGTAAAACATGTTGACATGCAACTTCAGGTGAAGATGGTGACATTAAAAGTAATTGTTAATTTGCCAGTAAAATATATTTGATTAGCATGATTGGTTAATTGTTACAAACTGCACTGTGCTCAATCAGTATCAATCAGTAAGCAGCGGTAACATCTGTGCCCAAAGGACATGACAGTTCTGTGGATTGAGGTGAATTACATGACTGCGTGGAACAAGTGAGAGCAGCCACATCAGACGTACAATGGTAAGGTTCTGCTCCAGAGAATAAAGTAGCAGGCTCAATTCCTTGCTCCTGCAGCTGCATCTTGATGAGGGCTATATGAAAAAATGCTTGTGTATAGCAGCATCTCTGATGCCATCAGAAATTCTTCGATAAGATTGACAAGAAGTATCTAGTTGTACAGAACTGGATACTTCGTGAACGAATAGGCTCGTGATCTCGATCCTCATCAGTTATCAAGCAAGACAAGCTGCTAATGTGTTACTAGGTTCACAAACATGTCAACATGCTTGCTTTCCTCCAGTCTAATATCTCCATACTTGCAGCGTTAGCAGACCCATTTAGCACTTCCACGAAGCTTACCACTTTGTCCCCATGAGCCCCAATATGTAACACCTAGCCCCATTACAAGACATTAATAGCTCACGTCGGACTGACACCCATATGACCACTTTTATAACGCTTTTCTACTGGCGGTAACAAATATGCAGGATTTACGCAAAACTGGTGTGGCCATTTGCAGCACTAAACTGCACATACGCACTGCACTATTTTCAAATCCCTTGCGGTCACTTAATTGGTAATGCGACGGGAAACAATCACGGGCTTTCCCCAACTTACTACGTGTGACCTTGACGCCGAGCATATGTTTGATACTACGTTGATTACGCACTTAGTATGCACGTGAAAATTCTGTACCTTCGTAGTTTTTGACTACGTAAAATACTCTGATCGCTTCGCAGCAGGACGACGCGACAGCTGCGTGCTTTCAAGATGATCACGAAAAAAAAAAAAAAAAAAACCTACGCCGTGTGCATTTCACCTTTTATACCGATATTGCTTCCGAGGACTTGCAGATAACACACGCTAGAAACTTTGGCGAAAATGCTCTTCTTTGTGGTGTAAAATTAGTTAACGCATCTATCATCTAAGAAATCCAGCCAACACCACAAAGTACATTAGATAACCTTCTTCACTCACCAAAATAAGATACCTTTCTTGGGAAAGTCAGGGTACGCTTTCAGTGCGGCACATACTTCCTTAGTTCTAGGATCCATTTCCAACAGAACGATAGCAGTAATCTATAACTGCAATAACATGAACCGAAAAGAAAGGTTACAAGCGTAAAACCGGCGCAATCTAGAGAATAATGAACTTCAGGGTGGACCACAATACGCGCGAAAAGTTGCAAACGCCGATTATGATTATCAAGAGGATGTCCTTGCAGCTACGGTTGTCCGCGGCCCGAAGAGTTTCTCGTGGCCGTACTGGCAACGCCTCCTAGATTACTGTGCCTGCCAGATGAGCGCGAAACGCCGGTTATTTATGACGGCGCTGCCTACGTAGGAATAAAAGTTTTTGTACTTAGCCTTTGAGATCGGCAATTTTGGTGTTTGGTACAAATTTTAAAGGATGCCTTGTAATAAAGAAGTTGCTTGTTGAATGATGGTGTCACTAACGTAGGGTTAATTATAATTATAGTTACGTCTTTTTAAATTGTTTTACAATATTTTTATTGCATATAAGCTCCGAAAACGTAAAAACTTATTTGAAGACACCCATACTTGAGTAACGCCACCACCGTAGTTCCGACAACCGCCGCTTCCCAAGTGACCACTGATAATCCGGCAGGCACGGGAAATCTAGGAGGCGTTGGTACTGGAAAGCAAAAGCTGCAGCACTGTAGTTGAGAACAACAATATATCTAGAAACGCTGGTTGAGAAAAGTGAATTTCTGTAAGTTTTTTTACAAAGCTCCATGAATTCTTTAATTAAAGCCCTTTCTGTGTCCTTTTGTGTCTCGCCAATAATTCGCAAAACACTTTATCATAATAAATATAGCCAAGTCGGCGAGAGTCATCAAACTTAAAGGGCTTGTGGACAGGACCACCAGCAGCAAGTCAGGCTGACGGGAGGCCGATGAGGAGGCGCAAATGTTAAAACAATACATGCGCGAACAAAAAAAAAATAAAAAACTGGTAAAACTGTAATAAGGCTTGAACCACCGAGCTACTCATATTAATGTGTTGCTCTGACCAACTACGCCACAACTGCCGATTGATGGGGGGGGGGGGGGGGCATTATTAACCCACCGGTTTTGTATTCTTGTCACGCTGGACCTAACTAACATTATTTCTCACTTTTACGTTTCGACGCAACTTTAATGGATTCTGTCGTTACGTCTAGACATACGGCTAGACACTCCGACTATTCATACCAAACCCCTAAGCGGAAAAGTGCATGGCCACAGACATGGCGTCACTACCGTGCGGCGCAGCAGCCGTTTCTGTGTGGAGATGGCTTGTGTGCCGCGTGGCGCAGCACTCCCTGCCTATAAATGTTCTCTCATACGAGTCATACGAGTCGGACCCCGAACGTGTTCATCATCATCATTGTCAGTCTCTACCCGTGAGCTGATTTTATTTTATCCTGCTCACGGTTGCGTTTCTCATTCCTTGACTGACCACCACTTCGACACATTACATGGTCAGCTTCGATCTCTACCCCCGCCCCCCCCTCTCTCTCTTTTTTAAATTGACCACCTGTTTAATCCCTCATCCATTCTGCTTTGTTTAAGCATTGCACAGTTCAGACACCGGTTTTTACTCGATGCACTTCAAATAACAAAAAAAAGGCCACGAATGTAATAAAAAAAGACAGGTCCCTGTGTGTTGCCCAAACAATGTTAACTACCCTCGTGATAGCGAGTTGAGCTTCTAATTACCACAAATAAGAAGCAAGGGCACAGCCAGGGATTGGCACACCAAAGCCGTGCCCCCTCCCCCCCCCCCCGTCCCGCCAAATTTTTTTCGCAATGGCAATGGTCATTTCAAGGGGGTGCCCCCCCCAACAACAAAATGCCCCCCCCCCCCCTGTAAAAAAAATGTCAACGCAAGGTTTATAAACGGACTAGTTGGTGAAGATCCATAACAGCTCCCAGCGCACTCATTTCGTCCGTGTCGTGTACTGTGAGCTATTTTCTGGCTATACACCCCTGCCATTAATCACAAACGAAATGTCGGAGACGCCTGTTTAATTTCAACGAATAGTAAACGGTGTGTTATTTACCCACTCGCTTGCCACTCTAGCGATATCAACAAGCACAAGAATCAGTGGACATTGCAGGTGTTTTAAGAAGCGCCTAGCCCAGCCGGACAACTTGCGGGTCGCAGTCCAGTCCAGTTGTAACCATTCGACAAGTATGACAACATATGTGGTCGCTGTATTTTCGCTACCCGTCATCTCGTCATCTAATGACACAAGTTTTCAACATCACGCCCCGAAGTGCTTCGGACATTTGGGTCCTTCAGAAACCCGTTAGAGAAAAATAATGACGGTGAAATATGTGTAGACAGGTTTACAGCTATCAACATGCATGTGTTTCGGCATACTGTTTTCGTCAAGCTCGTAATATAATATCCACAACTGAAACATTATCCCAGAACACCTTTTCGCTTGAACTATGAACACTTAAGAAAGGCGTGATGTATCCATTACAACGTCCGGACGCTACAACACCGGTGAACATCTGAAGCATCTGTGCGGCCGCAGCCGCTTGATTTGTGGTGGGCGCGCTTTCTGCCTATGGCAAGATGGCGGCGCGCGGTTTCACCTGAAGTAGAGTGTACTAGGATGGTCGGAGTGGGACGAACGGAGCGCTCTTGCTGAGGCGGCGTTCGTTGATTGATTAGGGGGCGCTGCGGGCGAGGTGGATTGGTAAACGGTCTGTCTCTTTGGGGTGGATTCCAAAGAGACAGGATTCATTTCGATAAGAGGCTTGGACACGAGGTGGGCTGGCGACTGGCAGGACGCGCAGTAGCTTTTTTGGGGGGCTCACGGGCCCTTCGGAGTCCGGGGTAGCTCGTAACAGGGAAAGCAACCAGGAGGACGCTTTGACAGGTAGAATTGCGAAAAACCAGAAAAAAGGTAAAAGAAAAAGGAAAAAGGCGCGTGTTGCAATTAGTTACATAAACATGCAGGGTGGCAGAAAGAAGGCAAAATGGTTAGAGATTGAGGAGCAGTTAAACAAAGAACAGATAGGCGTGTATGCGGTTACAGAAACACACCTTAGAGACTTGGAAGAGCCACCACATATTAAAAATTATGTTTGGGAAGGGTGTAACAGGACCATATCGGAAAGGAAAGGTGGGGGTGTAGGAATGCTAATTCACCGCGGAGCTAAATGGGTTAGAGTGAAACAGACGTGTTCAGAGCACCTCTGGGTTCGGGGCACAGTAGGTGGAAAGGAAACGTGGCTAGGGGTAGCCTACTTGTGGACGGGGAATAACTGCAGAGAAAAGAATCAGGAGATAGTGGATTGCATGAGTGCGGATATTAAGGAATTTGGTAATGGGGCCGAAATCATCCTTCTAGGGGACATGAATGCCCACATACATGACCTTGACGGATATTCAGACACCAATGGGAAGTTATTACTAGATCTTTGCGAGCAACATAGTCTGGAGATAGTTAACACGGGGCCTAAATGTGACGGCCAGATCACATGGGAAGTCGGAAACAAGCAATCAAGTATTGATTATTGTCTCATGACTGAAGGAATTTACCACAAACTGACAGAAATGAGGATAGACGAGGAAGGCATTAACAGCTTGGGTAGTGATCATAAACGAATAACATTACAAATGGGATACGAAACTGAAAATATGAGCATGGAATCAAAGTCTGGCAGCTCGTATTTAAATGACAAACAAATAATAAATATAGCCGCAAGAGTCGAGGAAGAAGTAGGCGAAATACCAGGCAAGGACTGGGAGTATAGTGAGCTGTTACATCTAATGACGAAGGAGATAGGGAAAGAGAAGAAAACTGTTTGCTGGAAAGGAAAAAGGAAGCCAAAAAGTTGGTGGAACAAGGAAATCCGGGAGGCGATCGAGAAGCGACGCGAAGCCTCACGGGAGCATAGAAAGGCAAAAAAGGAGAAGCGGCCGCAGGACGAAGTCAAAAAAATATGGGAAATATATTTAGAGAAAAAATCCCTTGTACAGAAATTGGTAGAGGCAAAAATTAAAGGTGAAAGTGAACGCTGGATGACAGAGATACACGAAAAAAAGGAGGCCGCGCCTAGGATTTTTTGGAGCCACATAAAGGCGCTAGGTAGGAAGTCTGTCACAACGCAACAACATATTCTAGATGAAGGAGGAAATCAATTGGAAGGGTACGAAGCGCTAGGTTACATCCAAAAGGTAACAGCCGATTTGTTTCAAAAGAGCGTCCAGGGGATCTCCCCGGTGAGTAAAAGTGTGGCGGAGAAAGCAACAGAGGAAGAGCTAGTACTTGATAATTTCAACTGGAAAAAGGCCGAAGGAAAAATTCCAAAGCGCACTGCCGCGGGTTTAGATGGGATTCCCGTTAGCCTCATTAACGAACTAGGACATAACACTAAAGAAGCATTGTTAAAAGCAGTAGAAAAAAGCTTAAAGGACGGACAAATACCGGACAGTTGGCGACAAAGTAGAATGAACTTAATCTATAAAGGCAAGGGAGAAAAGGACAAGATTCGCTCGTATAGACCACTAACCATTACATCGGTACTATACAGGATGGCGATGCAAGCAGTAAAAATGAAAATAGAAACATGGGCCGAACATAACGATATTTTGGGAGAACTTCAGAACGGATTTCGAGTCGACAGGCGGTTAGACGATAACCTGTTTGTTCTCACTCAGTGTATAGAAATATCCAAAATAGAGAATAGGCCCTTGTACGTGGCTTTTCTAGACATCACTGGGGCATACGACAACGTTAATCAGGAAATTTTGTGGGATATATTGAAAGGAATGGGCATGGGCGACGACTGTATACAGCTTTTGAGGGAGATATACCGAGAAAATACAGTTTGCATAGAGTGGGAAGGAATGCGTAGCAAAGAGAACGTTGAGGTTAGCAGGGGTCTGAGACAGGGATGTCCTTTGTCCCCGCTGTTATTCATGCTGTACATGGTGAGTATGGAAAAAGCGCTAGAAGGTAGCAACATTGGTTTTAATCTGTCACACAAACAGGGCGGCATGATGATTGAGCAGAAGCTTCCAGGTTTATTTTATGCGGACGATATCGTCTTATTTGCGGACAGTCGAGATGATATACAGCAGCTGGCGAATATATGCGGAAGGGAAGGTGAAGCTCTTGGACTAGGATTCAGTGTAACGAAGTGTGGATTGATGGTATTCAATGATCCCTGTGATCAGACGGTGTCCATACAAGGCCAAGAAATACCGAGGGTAAGTGAATA